GGGGGTTCGGTCCGACGTTGTGTTCTGGGGAAAGGCACTTTACGAAAAATTCCCACTTGGCTCGGTCCTTTCGGGGATGGAGGTTAAACTCGGAGGTCCCACCTCTTAAATAACCTAACAGTGCTGATGGAGACGTTGAATCTATACCATTTCACCATACCTAATAGTGTTGATAGGGGCGTAAAACCCATACCATTTCATCATACTTAACAGTGTTGATAGGGGCGTAAAACCTCTGCCATTTCAAATTGGCGAACTCTTAATTTCTGTAGCAGTATTATTAGTGTTATTCATCAGTTCATGCCCTATCATCATCATCATCATCATCATCATCATCATCATCATCATCATCATCATCATCATCATCATCATCACTCTGCGCCCCTCGGGGACTCAAGCGTGTAGATCTAGCTAGATTCATTTGTCAATTCGATCACTCATTATTTCATTCCGTTCTACATCACCGTCTTGTGTCTTCCATTTCATTTCAGTTGATGTCGTCATCACTTTTAACCCCGCTGAATTCTTAAAAGTTCATTGATGTTATCCGACAAGTGATGAGTCTTTCTTTAATTTCACCATGTCGTGACACATAATAATAATAATAATATCATTAATTTACACTTGTACTGTTTCAGGTACCGGTAGTTTCAGGCCAGCACAACCTGCTCCCAGACTGGCTATCGACGTGTGCGTCAAGAAACATATTTGTTACATACGACCTTCATCCTGACCGGACCACAGAGGCACAGGGGAGCAAAGGGGCGTGGGGTGGACGGCATAGTGCAAGAGTGGACACAAGGCTCAGGACCTGTCTGGTAGGTCATTACTATTTATTTCTGGGGGGTTTTCTGGGGATTTTTTTGTCTGTATGTCTGTCTGTCTGGTTGTTTGTCTGTCTGACTGTCTGTCTGCTTATCTGTCTATCTTCGTGTCTGTCTGTCTGCCCGTCTATCTGTCTATCTACATATCTACCTGTTTGCCCATCTGTCTGTTTTCCTGCCTGTCTGCCACTCTTTCTCTCCTCCCATCTTCCTCCCCATCCCATCTTCCTCTCCTCCCATCTTCGTATCCATCTCTCCTTCCTCTCCTCCCATCTTCCTCCCCATCTCATCTCCCTCTTCTCCCATCCTCCTCCCCATCTCATCTCCCTCTTCTCCCATCTCCCTCCCATCCCATCTCCCTCCCTATCTCATCTGCCTCTCCTCCCATCTTCCTCCCCATCCCATCTTCCTCTCCTCCCATCTCCCTCTCCTCCCATCTCCCTCTCCTCCCATCTACCTCCCCTCCCATCTCCCTCTCCTCCCATCTCCCTCCTCATCCCATCTCCCTCCTCATCCCATCTCCCTCCCCACCTTCCTCTCCTCCCATCTCACCTCCCTCCCCTCCCATCTCCCTCCCCTCCCCCCAAAGACAGACCGGCACACACCCATGACACAGTCGCTGTATAACCAACACAATATCACCCCCAAAGGTCACGGAGTCGACTGCGCACCAAAATAACGCGAAAACTTCTGTTCAGCAGTGCGCTTTGAATGAGCCGATGGAAGCCATGTGGAGTTGAGCGGGCGGTTGGAGGGTGTTTTACATCTTTACTTTCCCTCCGTTATTTCAGAATGCTGTCTGCCAGATAACTGTTGCTACTATGTGGGCGGTTAGAGCGTGTTACTGAATGGCCCTACAAATTTATTATTCCTCGATTGCTTCTGTTTACTATCTATCTACACGTATCTATCTCTCTATTTATCTATCTATCTGTCTGTCTGTCTCTCTGTCTGTCTGTCTATCTGTTCTGTCAGGTATACCGTCAATCTATCTTAACGGTGTCCCTCGATTTTCTCATTCAACCCCCCCCCTCCCC